CCCACTCATGCCGAGGGCCCGGAGCTGGGCTCGCTGGCGTGGCGTCTCCGTCCCGCTCCTGGGGCCGGCACCAAGCCACACGCCATCGGTCCTGTTGTCACCCGCAGCGTTCCCAAGCTGCAACACAGAGCAGAGAAAGGGTCAGGCCGGCGACCAGGCGTTCCGTTGGTGCTCTGCATTTATTTCCACAGCCAAGGAGTCGGTGCCCTGGGCATGAAGATGTCACCCACAGGGCCAGGATGTACCTTGGGGTACGCAGCAGGGATGTCCCCCGCTGCCCTGAGTGCTGCGTTGGCGATCCCCTGCATCATCTGATCCAAGGAAAGCACTCCGTCATGGCTGGGTGAGTTGTCTTCCCGAAGAAGAAGCTGGCCCACCAGTGGCCGGGGTCGGACTTGGGCAGACCTGCGGGACCACGCATGCCAAGGAAAGCCTGGGTCAGTGCAACCCGGGCAGCCCCGCTACCACCCCGGTCTTACCCCATAGGAGAGGCTGGATCACCTCCAGTAAGGTTTGCAGTGGAGGGGCCGGGGGCAGAGTCCTCCCGAGCCGGGACAGGCGGCACTTACCCGGGGGGTGGGGGATGACCTCCCCAGAGTACTCCGAGCTGCCGCAGGAGCTGTTGCTGGATGTGGAGCTCAGGCGTCCTGCGGAGAGATCATGGCCATCAGAGCCACCACCAACCCTTGGTCGTGCCATGGAGAGCAGAGCACAGCCCTGATGTGGCCGTCCCTGCGGTGCCATGGCTCAGTCTCATCACTGTCTTGCTCCGGCACTAAAACTCGGCAAGTGCCAAGTCAGTAAAAACCACTAGGAAGGGAATACTGGCGAGATTACAAGCTGGCCAAGAGCAGGTAGCAGAAAAGCACCTGAACACCTCTGTAGGAAGACGTTTGCAACCCCAAGGACATTATTTAATGGCTTTGCATCTGTATGCAACACTTGGGAGGCCTTTGCAGATGACTTGAGGCCAAGAGGATGCAGATTCCGGCATATAATCCATGCAGTTTTAGTCCAACTGCTACAAGCCTGTTACTAGTTTCAGCTCAAGGGGAATACTTGAATTCTCTCTGGTTTAGGCAATTTGTGAAACCAGAAAGTCTCTCCCTGGGAGATGTACCAGTAGCTGCCGTTGCCCTGACTGTTTTTGCAACTCATTTCCACAAGAACGCTGCAAGACGCATTTGAAGCCATCGCCTCCCCTCACCTACAACCTCAGTAACAAGAGAAGGAGTTTGCAAGACCCATCTCTGACTGGTATGACCGGGCAGCGGCTGGTGTGGCCCAAAGGATGGTCCAAGCAGCAGCAAGGATGCCCGTCCTTTTTCACCAAGGAGCCTGCCAGCTCTCATTGGGGCTTCAGCTGCAAGCACACACCTGAGCTCAGCTTCACCTCTGCTGGAGCCACGTCCCCTCGAGCCTGGCAGAGCGTGCTGCTCAGGTGCCCACTGCCCCGAGCCCACCCCGGCCCCGAGCGCCCGCCCTTACTTCTGTAGTAGTTGTGCGTCGCCATGAGCGAGCCGCTCGATGGGATGGATGCCATGGTTCTCGATCTTGGTTCTTGTGCAGATCTAAAACCTGTAAGCAAAGGGGCAGCCGCCATTGCAGAGGGGCCGCAGCAGGGCCCCCGCAGCCCCCACCTGCCCGGGGCCTTACCTGCACCCACACACGAGAAAGCTGCAAGAGTTTAAACGGTGCCAGCGTGATTTCTCGAGAGATTTGACATGCATACCTTCACAGTGGCACTGCGCAGAGGGTAGCGCGCGTGGTGCTACACGCCATTTAAATCCACGGCTGTAGAGCCAAGAGCTACGTGCAAAGCCAAAATAATTCCCTGGAAAACAACTGCTTGCACAGAGCACCGGCCTGGCAAATCCGCACAGCTCCTTCCCCGAACCCCACACGGTGTTTTGCTTCCTTGCAGAAATCCAGTTCCCCTCACTGTATCAACAGTTGGGCGTTACGAAATCTCAGGCAGAGATTGCGTAAAGTGGCAAAGGAGTGTTTAGCTCTGGGCGCATACCGAGGATTTCCGTGCAAGGGGTTCCAGCCCCGGCCTGTCCCCAGCACCGCT